TTTAACCGCTCAAGAGATATGTCCCCTTTATTTTTCCACCATGTGGCATGCAAGCGGGGAGTTTTTGTCAGTGTCTTTTTGAGGGTTTTGAAGAAAGAGGGAGAGGAGAAATGCAAGGGGAGAGGAGAAATGCAAGGGAAAGCTACTGCTTCTTCTTCCCCTGCATCGCACGTCTAGAGAAAGAAGAAGATTTACAATGTCTTTCAAAATAGCATCGTTTCATGTTTTTTTTTTTTTAAATAGCAGATGAAACGATGCCATAACTAAGAAAAAAACTCAAAATAGGAGAGAAGAGAGATAGATCTTTAATGATATCTTTTTTTTACCTAATTGGTTGGGTGTTATTATATACCATAACTCAATATACAATAGTAAAATGAATGCAAAACATTGGCAATCTTTCTTGAATAGATCATAAATGGACTTCGAACATGTCTTTTGCTAGATTATATCATGACAAATCATACCGACATGCATGTGACAAGAGATATTTCTATATAGGTTTTTAAATTTATTATTTTCTTAACGAGAGAAGTCATAGTCTCTTACAAGACACCTATATTTATATGGAATGGCGTGCTCTTTTTATTGTTCCAATCTTGAAAGCAAAATAATAAAAAACTTTTACAATTCTGTGGCTTGGTTAAAAAAAGAAAAACTGTATAGATTATTTATAGTTTAGAGTTCAAGATTAAATAAATAAATTATTTTTCTTAGAGTAATTGCTTCGCAAACTTACCATGAATTTGAAATATACTCTGGATTTGATAACTAAGTTTGAGGCTCCATTAATTAGTGTTTGCCGTGAAACATCCCCTTTTTAGATCCAAAAGAGGCAAAGCATCAAAATGAAGAAATTACGCTCCCATAACCATAACTCATACGATATGACGCCTTTAAGTTAAAACTATGGGAGCTATTTCACTCAAACTACACTCGTAGTTTCAATGAACTTGAGACTCCCGGCATACCAATATTTTATTTTTATTAAAAAAATCCCCTAAAACCCTTATTGTGACTTTTTTAATTTTAGTCAACTAAATCCAATTAGACTACATTGGAAGATAAGTATCAATTATTATTTTTTAAATGTTAAGAAATAATAAAAAGAAACATCAACTTCTTTCAAGAAAATAATAAAATTCGCAAATGTTTCTTAAATAAAAAAATAATTTTAATAATCCTAGTGTTGGGTGGAGGAGAGCAGTTTGGTCGACGTCATCTTGTGTTAAGATAACTTATATGTGGAGACGAATTCAACAGTCTCCATTTGGGTTAAGTAATTCTGCAAGTTATATGCATGTAATTGAAAGCATTTTGCTTAAAAAATCAAAAGTCAACGACAAGAATGAAGCCCGAGTTTATATATGGTAAATGAAGATAGTCAATGCTCCTCACGATCAAAAAGGATATAGATCCTGTGATCAATAGAGATCCACTGAACGCACACGAGAGCTGTGTGATCTTGTCTCTGTGGAATCTCTCAGTCCTCATTTTCCTTAATTTATGTTTTCCACTCTTACCTGTATGCAGCGCCTTCTTTTGACTGTTCAAATGTCAACGATGTGAACAGCCCACTTACTGTTCAATCATCTCTCCCTCTCTCTTCCTTGCTATTTACAATCATTTTTGGCACATACTCTCCTTGTTCTTCAATCTTGATCTTAGCTAGCTTAGCATGCAAAGAGAGGAACAAGAAATTCAAAGAATGGAGGGTTTTGAGCATCAAGCGCCATCATTTTTTATCTGCCCAATATCTCTTCAGGTCATGAAAGATCCTGTTACTATATCCACAGGCATGACCTTTGACCGAGAGAGCATTCAGAAATGGCTTTTCTCTTATAAGAAAATCATTTGTCCTGTTACAAAACAACCCCTTTCTGATTTCCGTCTCACTCCAAATTCTAATCTTCTTCGGTTGATCCAATCATGGCACTTGCAGCACGCATCATCATCAACAACAAAATTTGTGGAGCCGGAGCCTAATAATCATGATGCCTTGATGAAAGTCCTTCTTGAAGAGATTAAGCAACCCCATTTGCAGGTAAAATCTCTAAGAAAGATCAAGTCATTAATCCAGGAGAGCCGTGGTGATAGTAGCAGGATTACTTGCATCAGAGATGATAGCTTATTTTCTCTAGTAGCATCTCTTGTAGTCAAAACTGAGTTACCGGGGGTTCCACAGATTACTGGTAATGACACGGCAGAAATTATCAATGAAGCTGTGTCTTCTTTGTGTCTTTTAAGGCCATCCGACGAGACATTAAAGATGGTTTCACAAAATGAAAATGGCCTGTTAATCGAATCACTTTGTTTAATTATAACACAGTATTTGAGCAATCTACAGATTAGAATTCAAGCTGCTCTTCTTCTGAAGTCCATATTTGAAGTGGTTGATGGGATTTACAAGGAAGGACTTAGAGTTGAGTTCTTTGAGAGCATCACGGAGATATTGAAGGACCAAATTTCAAAACATGGAAGCCTGACAGTCTTGGCTATTTTGATGGAAGTTTTGTCATATGGGAAGAATAAAGAGAAAGCTATTGAGGGAGGACTCATTCCGATCCTGATAGAATTGCTAGCTGAGGACAATGAGAGGCATGTGTGCGAGATGATGTTGGCCGTGCTAGAAAAACTGTGCCAGAAAGCAGAAGGGCGGGCTGCCTTTTTGGCACATCCAGCAGGCATAGCAGTTGTATCATCGAAGATTTTGAAGGTTTCCCATGTTGGAGATGATAAATCAATAAGTTTGTTGTCATCCGTTTTAAGATTTTGTATCAGTAGAGGTGAGGTTGCACAAGAATTTATGGAGGTGGGTGGAGTGACAAAGATTTGCTTGGTGATAGAAAGTGGATGCAATTTAAAGACTAAGGAAAAAGCCAGGGAAATCTTAGGGTTTCATCTTAAAACATGGAACAAGAGTCCCTGTTTCCCCTCGTTATTTAAAGCTTGATTAATTACTTTAAAATGGAATATTTCTTTCTTTTTTTCAATTCCTGTTACAATACAACATCTTCTTTTGTTTTCTGTCGGAGATCTTCACATGTTATACTCTAATATTTATGCTGTTACTGTACTTGATTACATGAAAATTGATTCTGCCACACATACATGGTTATTGCAACAACTTCTTGCTTCATCATATTCCGAATTTTAGTACTTTAAAAGCTGGAAACATCTTCGTTAATTTGATCCCAGGGTTAATTTATAGTCATAAAGTACTTGGACTCAATTACTATAGGAAGGGATATTGAGAAGTGCAACCAATAATTCTTAAGACATGCAAGGCACATATGAATATTTTTTTCTGCAAGCCTGTCAACATATATAGAGTAATATATCCAGACTAATTAATAACCCATATTGCAGACGAACGCAATCATGCGGACAAATCTTTTTTGATAAATTGTATCAACTACTCTCTTTCGGATATGAAAACGCCAAACATCTGACGATAATAGCAGCTGTAAGACTTTTTCTGACGTCGCTAACTGGACATGCATGGATTAATTTGGATATTAATTAGCGGCCTGTAATTCACATTTGCATGCTGCTGTCACTGAAAGGGTCCTTACTATGCTGCCATGCATAACGAATACATAATAGAGCAGGATGCTGCCAGGTATATGCAACTAAATCAATATGCATACGTCTAAAATTAAGGAAGCTGCTAACCTTTTCTTTAGTTTAGAGTTTGTTGGTAAGTGTAATTATGGTTGTTTTATAAATATTTTTTTATGTTAAAATATATGATATTTTTTATATTTTAAAAATTATTTTTGATATTAGCATATTAAAATAATTTAAAAATATTTAAAATATATTAATTTAAAATAAATAAATAAAATATATTTTTTAAATCTTTTAAAAATACTTTCAAAACACTGATACAGAGAGCTAAATTTGATTCATGATATGCAGTCAATTTCAGCGGGCACATTCAAATTAAAACCATTTCGTCCACCCTCGACATACAAAACTGGGGCTTGCACCTTTTGGGTCGATCCTTGATAAATGGATGTTTGCATGAAAATTGTAATATTTGGCTTGGTCAACTAATTACGATTAAGTTAATTTTTAACATAAAATTAAAAAGAATGAGTAGATAGTGTGAATATATTTTCTAACACCATTAAAATATTTTAATTGATAATTAGAAAGTTGAAGCATATATTTAATAAAATTGAGTGAAAATTATATAAACAAATAAATCATAAAAAATATGTCAATGTTAACCAAAGATGGAAAGCTTATAAACAAATAAATCATAAAAAAGATGTCAATGTTAACCAAAGATGGAAAGCTAAAAGATAAATTTACATGAAAATATTTAATCTTGTATAATATGTGTATAATATGTGGTACTCTTCAAATTTTTTTATTTAATTATATGATAATAAAAAAAGATTTTCATCCCAAATGTAATAATTTGAATTATGTAGAAGAAATATAATTGTTAGCATAAATTCTTCTTTTGTTATTAGTATATTTTTTCAATACAAAAAATATATCTTTTTTTAGTTATGTTGTTTATAACGTAGAAATTGTAAGCAATTAAAACCAATAACCAAAAAACTATTAGCTATTTGAAATAAATATAAAAAAAGATATCTCTTTAATTAAAACCTCTTTCTCTTATTATTACATTCCTTCTTTGTTTTTTTGCCTAATTTTTTATTTATCATAAGTTATGTTTCTTAAACATAAACTTAACATAATTTTAAAGGCAAGTTTTAATAAAAAAATTATAATTTTGACGTGAATGTATTAAAAAACATAACACCCATAAACTTGAGAAAAATCATATAAAAATTTTAATTTTAAAATTTTTAAAAATAGATATTTATTATGCATTTAGAAGAGTATACATATTAGGTGCATATATAATTATTCAAAAAAAAATTGTTAACATTACCATAAAAGATGCAAATATCAATTGAAAAACATAATTACATAATTATTAAACATCATTCAAATAAATTCATTTAAAAATAATCTAATTACATAAAAACCATTTAAATAAATATATTTAAAAATAATTTACTTATAAAATATGAAAAGAGATTTAAAAAGAAAATGAAAAGGCCAAGCACGCATGGATTAGATCAACGGGCCTAGTCCACATGAAAACCTAAGCATGCTTGAGCCTAATTTTTATTTTTTCCCTTAAAGAAAGGAGGACGTGAGTTTTCTCTAACTCTTTTTTTTTTATTAGATGGACAACGAGTCATCTATCTATCATTTTTTCTGGTAATTGAAGGTGGTTTTAGTAATTAAAATATTAAAGTCCAAGTTTTGAGACCTCAAAATCCAAAGCCCAAAACCTTTTTCATCTAAAAACATGAAAAAAAATCTCATAAACCTTTATAACCTCATTTCTTATAACAAAACATATTCAAAAACTTAAAAATCAAATTAAAAAAACGTCATGAGCCTCAAATTACATTTTCTAACATCACCTTCAATGAGTTACTCTCTCAAAATTGAATCTATAAACACCAAAATTGAAGTTATTGAAGATCAAAATCAGGTCACCTGAGAGCTTTCTCTCTCCTCAAGATTTTGTGACAATTTTATCTCACTTCCCTCAAGATCTAATGATTGGAACATAAAATAAATGAAGTTTGAGACCTAAAAGAAAATTCCAAAAATTGAAGGGATCAATGTAAAAATAAGTAAATAAAGGGATTAAAGTGTTGATTTATATGCCTTTTAAAATAGAAAAAAGGTTGTTTTTTTTAATACTAATTTTATCCTCTTTCCTTTAATTTTATTTTCTACGATCACTATAAATTATTAAATATAAAATTGACATTTTATTTAACCTTTGAAACAATTTATGACACCACTACACATGATATCATACAACCCAAAGGAAATGGGAAAATATAGGACTAAAAAATTATAAATTTGAGTATCAAATTAAAAAAATAAAAATCAATAATCAAATTAAAAGAATGCAAAAACTTGAGGAACCTAAAACTATATAGAAAATAATGTTATGAATAGTGAAATATGAAAGGATGAATAAGGTTTACGCATTGAAACTTCATTCTCTTTTAGTATTACTAATGGTGTTGCCCATGTTACACTATAGGCTAATAAGAGTTGATTTTAAATATTTTTTTTTTTAGAAAAAAGTGAGGAAGAATATGCATATAAGTGTAATAAGTCATGACAAAAAGCAAGGTTCCTATGATGAGTTTAAAAAAACCAATAACTTAAAAGGAAAGTTGGACCTAAAGTAGAGATGATTGGGTTTTGAAAATTGTTTCCAAGAGATAGTTGCTCTATAATTCCCATAAAAATATGTCAAGTTTTTAATATTGTTTTGCAATAATCAAGTGAAAAAAAAGGCAAAAAAATGCAAGTACTTAGCTAAGTTGTGAAATAAAGATGTGATAAATGAGAATGAATATAAACTTGCATGTTTTTATATATTGAAAGGTAAATGTAAGAGTAGAAAACTATCATATAATGTTTAGAGAAAGAAACAAGCAAAACTAAAAAATAAAAATAAAATAAAATGAGGTGTCAAACTAAAAACAATGCTATAAACAAAAAGTTATGAGATTAAATGAAGATTGTAAAGCAACTACAAAAGAGCCATAACAAATATCAAATAGTAACAGTAATGCTTATTGAAAATAAAAACAAGAGAAAATAAAGGAAATGGATAACAATAACAAAAACAAGTTGTGATAATGAACTTCCAGACTAAAAACCTAAAAATAAAAACCTGGCAATAAACACTAAGCAAAGATTGTTCTAAGCAAAAGTAGAAAAACAAAGTTAAGAAAAGAAGTAGCAAAGACTGGGAAGAGAATACTTATAAGAAAATCTTTTTGGTGATTACACTTAGCTTATCTTATAAACCTTGTAATACATGTCAATTACATTGCATCCTTTTATAAATGGAAGTAAAAATCTTTTTAGTTTAATTTTTAATCATGTCCCATTATAAACCATTAGACCATTTTAAATGATCCAAAAGCATCGTAACATCATACTAGATATAACCACTTATTTGTATGTAACTCTTAGAAAATCAGGTCAATAAAAATATAATACTCATTAACTTTTTATAACAACTATAAAAAAATTTAAATATAAAATTTTAAAAACCTGAAACACTTATCCTATTGTTATATAATTTTTTTTGACAACTATTTATATTTCTTTTCCTCTAGAATTATACAAAAAAATGCTGACATCCTAGATGAAAGAAGAACATAATAAAGAGCATAATAAAACAAGATTTTAAAAATACATTCAAAGTAGTAATAATAGATGTAGTTGTAAATAAAAAGATAATAGATAAGAAAAGGTAAAAAAGAAATAAGAAAACATCAGCAACTGCAATTAAATCCTAACATGAAGGCCCAAAAACAACAACTGTTAGTAATGATAGAGTAAAAAGCTTTCTCAACATAAATTGGTTAAAACAAAAAAAAATAGAAAAAGAATAAATGTGAATAGACAACTAGTAAGATGTAAATTAAATAAAAAAATTAAGATCTAAAATTGATTAATCCAGCTTAATGGTTGAAGAGGTAGAAATCATGAAATAAAAAAAGTCAACACGCTTTTCTAAAAGAAAAACACGTAAATAAAAGTACAAAAAAACCGTAAATAGCCAATCCTTAAAGCAATATTATCAATTTTGTTCTGTTTCATCCGGAATGGTCAAAACATTTCATATAATTCAAAAAACAGAATAATTTTTATCTCATTTTAAATTGCGGTCCGTTCTAAATTTTTCAGCTAAAGTTCAACTGGAATGTTCCGGTTTTATTCTATGTTCCGTTCCGGTCTTGAAAAACCATTTAATCAAATTGAAATTAGTTTAATTTAATTAATTAAACCACCCAAGTATAAAAAACTCTTTTTCATTACTATTTTCAATAATAATGATATTAATAATAATATTAAAAATTATTATTACTATTTTCATTGACAA